ATAAAGTCACTGAGAACGAGCATTTGTTTGCCAATATAACGTCTGCTCCTCTCTCCAAGGCCACAAGGTAAGCATACTCTGAAAAAAGCTAACATACTGCTAAACATCTAACAGTGTTCTGCATTGCCACTCTCCTACACATCTCGGATGGAAGAGATACAAGGGCGATCAACAGCTGCTGTTGCCAACATCTGAAGACAGATGGGAGATGCCATACTTGCACCATACTTCAGCACCCTCCTCCGTTTGTCCAACTTGTGAGTATCCCAGAGCAGGCAACAGTGGGACTGCTAGCACTGCATAGTTGTATTAGAGACAGGAGATGGAAACTGCTGCTGCTGCATGCTATTAATGTCTCCTGCTCCTCAGCTGCACAGGCAAGTTCTCTCTTGAGAAGACCCGCAGAGTGTCTTCCTCCTCGTTAACAGGATGCAGCAAGGAACAGGCCTATCAGGCACTGCTCTGTGATTAACAAATCCAACTAGTAGAAACAGGTTTCAGTAGGATGTTCATTTACTGGTTCTAAAAAGCAGAGACAAGATTTCTGACTCATTCTCACCAGCTGCCCCACCTGGGGAGGGCTCACATGACAAGGTCTTATATTTCTTCATTTTAAAGACATTAAGAAAGCTATTGGTATACTTAGGTAAGCAACCAGACAGGGCACAAGTGATTGCTCTGTATTAGTAATCAAACACCTTCACTTTGTGGCTGGGAGGCATGAGGTCACAGGAAGAGTATTTCCAACACCCCGGATATGTTACAACAGGGTACACCCTGCAATAGGGTGTTACTTTCTAGTGTCTTAATAGAAGTATTTTCTTTACTAGTTGATTTTCTTTTCTAGTTGCTTCACATAAACATACCAACAGTAGCACTGATGCAAGAGCTGTTTGCCTCCAAACCCTGGACAAAGCTGATTAGAAAAAAAAAAGGAGAGAGAGTGTCAATTTTATTTAGACAATACTAACAAGCAACAATACTAATAACAATCATTTAGAGGGAACAGCTTTGCTCTTAGGAGGGAAAAAGCCTCCAACAGACACCACAAGAGTGGAAATAAACTATGAGTGGCAAAACAGAGATTAAGTGCTAAAAGCAATAGTAAGATCCTGTTGCGAAGTGATTAAAAACTGGAGCAAATATCTGGGGCAAAGGAACTCCAATGCTGCCAACTCATCCCAAAGCATTTTTTCTATCACTGCATCTGCTCTGCTCACAAACAACAGTACAGCCTTTGGAAGAAAACGCTGTGCTACACAGGCAACATTGAAAGCACACTGGCTTGCTGCACAGCCCTTTGAGCTGCTTTTCCTGTACTGCAAGTTTCAGAAACCACAGCCAGCTCCATCCCACTGCAAAGCATTGATCTGCCCCCAGAACAAGCTGCAGTCAGTCACATAGCGCAAGCATACACAACTGCCAGAACTCAGCCTCTTCGGTCAGAGCAGAAGATCTCTGTGGCTTGGGCTGATAAAACCTCCCAAACACTTTTCTCAGTTTCAAACTCTACAACTCTGGAATGTAACACAAGGGTTAGAAAACACCTGAGGGGCATGGTGTTCAAGCCCTGTGCTGAAGGCAGCTTCAATCACTTTCAGTTATGGTAGCATACATGTGAAAAGCAGTCACGAATGCCTGCATCTTTCCACACAGCTACAGAGGAACATGAGACATCACCTCCACAAGAAGCAGCACAGTGAAGTTTAATTCTGCAAGATATCAAATTCAGATCATACCATATTTTCCAGAGGTTACTGAAGGAGACACTCATCAAGATAATGTTCACAGCATGGCCTAAATCAAAACCAATGGCAGCATTTGAAGAGTGTAGATGATGCTCACTCTTTTCTAGAACAGAAATTTGATATTAGGAATATAGTACCAGAAACACAAAGCTAGCTCAAACTGAGAGCAGGTAAGATGTATTTTTTAGATGTATCAAATGTCAATAAATAGGCCCTGACAAAAGGAAAGGACACTTGAGTCTGTAAGCAGCAATGGTTTACTTGGGAGGCCTTTGACATCTGCGTTCTTATCATAGAATCATTAAGATTGGAGAAGACCTCTAAGATCATCTAATCTCTTACACCAAGACAGGACACTATCAGGACAATAACTTTGATCTACTTTTCATCCTAAGTACAAGATGACCTCTTCTGCTGTGAGAACCAGAAATACATTAACCACTTGTTTTTGATTACATGAAAATTTAACTCAATGCTACATTAACTTTAGCTAAAGAGAAACAGACTGGAAAGAGTATTCAAGAGAGAATACTCTAAGACTAACAGCTGTCATATGTGAGTGTTATCTGACAGGAATAGTAAAAATTAACCATGTCAGACATCCCACTGAACAGCAACAAACAGGGTAGTAGCTTCCTGCTAGCAGTACTACAGAACAGAGGTTGCAGTAATGAGATTTCACATAAATGTAAAATACAGCCTTTTCCTTCTTTAACTAGGCTTTATTGCATTTAGGTTTAATAAGTGTATCAAAATCTGATTTTATTAAGTAGCAAAATCAGATTTATGCTATACTAGTATTCATATATGCAAGTGATGACTTTGCAGTATGTAAACACAAACCTCAGAAGAATAAAATCAGTTTCAAATTCCCTTTCTATTCAACAAGAGCAATCAAAATCATGCTGAAATCTGCTACTTTAAAACTTCACAGTGGGGGGAAAAGAAAAAATTTATTTCATTAAAACTGAAAAAATCATTTTCATGAACAGTTATGTTCAAACTCCGCAGACCTTTCTGGATAGCAGTATAAGAAGCAATGCCAATTACATGTTCACAAAATTGTCTTACTTGACAGAAGTTTAAAGTTACTACCTGGAAAAGAAGCAGCAGCAATACAATCCAAAACTTGTCAGTAAATAAGTAAATACGTCCTCAGACAGCAATGAAGTTTACAAATAAAATCCTACCTGTAAAACCAAAAACTTAGGGCTGACCTCCACAAATACAGTCTGTCAGTTGTTCTACTTGTGTGTTCTACAAAGATGGAAAGTTCTTGGATGCAAATGGAGAGCTGTGCCAGCAAGTTCCTAGGGCCCTGGCCAGCTGAACAGCCTACCTTTTGGCAGCAGCACATCTTCCTCTGAGAAGCTAATGATTCTGAAGCGCTCCCATCGCCCAGACTTCTAAACTGCTTACAGCACAGCAGATGCCCAAGGTAGTTCCTGAGCTGGAAGTATAACTGCATCAGGGAGTACAAGTCTAACACTGAAGACTGTCGTCTTCACATGGGGTTCTGAGTTACAAAAGCATGCCATGAGGCACAATGCAGCGCTGCGCTGCCTCACGCAGCTGTATCAGGCATCATGTCAGCATAAATTTGTTTTTTGGTACACAGAAGATCTCTCAAAATGCTTTTAGATGTTAGCATCCAAGCACTAGTTTGAAGTACTTTTCTAGCTAAGCCTTCACATCCTTATATAAGTCTCTCCTTTCTCACAGCTAACCTATTTCACGAGCTCTGACACTGCAAGTTAGCACCCATCAGTCTTGTGAAGTTCCCTTGGCAGCAGAGTCCATCAGATATTTACTAAGTAGCTTTACTAAACAGCAATTTGTGAACTTGCCTGTATTTTCATCTCATTAGTGAGGTGTTAACGTCACGGAACCTTCTAGAGATGATTGTTTGACAGCAAAATGCATTCTGTCAACTACATACACACCCTCGTCCTGTATCGTAGGGGACAGGTTTTGAATTTATATAGACATCTTTAAAAATTAATAACAAAGCTTAAGAAACCTTTTAAGAGTCCAATCTTCCTCCATGCCAACAACCAGGTTATTTGCTGCTCTCCTTCCACAGGCCAATGAGGATTTTATAAAGCACCATTCAGTCTGAAGGAAGTGAAGTGTTTATCTGGCCATGGCACTGAAGTTTATGGAGTCAGGAGATATAAAAAACGCTGTTACTACGAACAAGCTCTAGAAACTACTTATACTGAAGAAGTTAAATGTTAATGTCATTGGTCTGAAATTTTCAGACATCTTAGAATTAAGCTTCCAGAAGTCAGCTCAAAAAAGGAACATTAAGTTCCATCACTGCAATATGGTGCTGTTGTAGCAGCACTGTGATTAAAACATCTCAGTCAACTCGTGTACAATTCAGCCCGACCTCTTTACAGCGGGATTTAAAATGAGACAATAACAGAGCTATGTAGATTACTCAACTGACAAGTGGCTATTCAGAAGACAAAGTGAAAGCAGAGTACTAAGCCCACATACTTCCTTTATAGCCAGCTCTTTTACTTACAAAAATTTTAAAAGCTCAAGTGTGCATTGTAACTGCAGCAGGGTAGGTACTTCCCATTCATTTAGTACTGTTCTATTTAGCATGTGAATAAGGATACTAAGCAGTGAGAAACAGTACTAAAATAAAAATGAATAAAATACTTTCTTTGGAAAGTAAAGCTAATTTTTTAAGTTACAAAATAAACATTGATGAGCTATATATCTGCCATATATCTAACCATACTTGCCTACTTTGAACAACGGTACTACTGCATCATCCAAAAAGGCAGACAGCAACAAAGAACTAATGAAAAGCACCAATGTAATACTGCACTGTTGTTCTGAAAGCTCTTGGGCTTTCAACACAGAAACATTAAGACCTCCCTCCAGCTTGAGTATGTAATTAAGTGCAAACTTCATTCCATCTCTGACTGATCATTTCAAAGCATTTTCAAACTTCCCCTACCATGTTCACAGATGACAAAGGCTGGCAATTTGTTATACTCAAAACTGAGATTCTTCTACATTGCTGTGCATTCTGTCAACATGCTGCCCAATGAAACATCTGTTTAATAGCCCTGGGTGTATATCACTATCTCTTGAGCTCTGCAGTGTTACTAAAAAGATAATTCACAGTCACTGATACTGAAGATTTAGTTTCACTCTACCCACTAAAGTGATTAACTTAAGTGGTAGGCAATTCATTCTCTTGAAATTTGTTTTTCAGGTTAACAGCAGCTTTACCTGCATAATGTACAGGGATTTCTATCTTTGGCCCTATGACGTAGTGGCCCTCCTCCAGACTGTGAGCTGTAATTGTTGTCCACTGCCGACACGAATGAATCAGGAGGTAATCACTCTCTCGAAGGCCTTCTACAGTTTCTCCTGAAAAACAGACATATGATTTTAAAATTACACTTATTGTCTACAGAATTAGGAAGACTTCACAATAAGCATTGTGTTCTTACTAGTATTTACTTTTCAGAAATCCGGTTTAAATAAGTTAAGAAATCCAGTTAACTAAGTTGCAATTCTAAACAGTACTCATTTTGCAAGGTAAGCACTTTATCTTAAAGAACACAAACATAAACCAACCCACTGTCTGAATACAAAGTACCAGAGATGTGCTGTTGATCATTCAGCAGTGGCTTTTAGCTTGCTTTTTCAGATTTCTGCTTAAACAGATTTTTCACATTCCTCTTTATGTCTGTCTATCTTACTTAATACACATACTTGAGAGCTCTTAATCTTTAAATAAAGGAAATCCACACACAAATCAGTTATTACACTTTGGAGGTATCAGGAGAAAAGCATATTTCCATACGTTAAAGGACCAGCACTTCACTAACCTAAAGCCACCTAAGGCCAAATTCTGCTTGTCATTATTAAGCAGCTGAGTACTTCACCTGCAGATAGAGATTTCAGCTCTTTTTATCCCTTTGCAAGCTACTAGGTAAATAGCTATTCCTGTGCAAATAAACTTAATCCTATTGCTTGTGAAGAAAAAGTTAATACACTACAATCATCACTCACAGCAGGCTGCTCTTACATTCATACAGTCCTGTTTGTACACATAGAGAAAACAGCCCTCCTCAAGGTGTCCTGAAAGCAGTCAAACGAACTATCAGCAACACCTAGCAGACACCAAACACAAGTCAGAATGACCAGAGAGGTTGCGGAGTCTCCTCTGAAGATACTTAAAACCTACCTGTACACTTTCCTATGTCACCTACAGCAGGGAACCTGCTTTAGCAAGGGGTTGGGCTTGATTATGTCCAGAGGTCCCTTCCAACCCAAGAGATTGAACCCAAGAGATTGACCTCACGTGGTCTACTGCCCCATGAGCTGTTAAATCCATTTAAAAAAAGTATTTTGACAGCAAGCAGGCACACTTTCAAGTAGGCACAGCATTTCAAGAACTGGTTTCCAAGTCCCAAGGCAGTCCAGCCAGGCAGGCAGTCTGCTAAGCACCAGCTCCTACTCACTGACTTCGAGCATCTTCTGTTCTCTGCTCAAAAGGCAACTCACAATAGGCACAAAAATTCTCTTCAGCTTACTCCAGTGAACAGTTATAATTCTGGAGGGAAACATAATGATAATATATGGTCTATTTGAAACTCAAGTTTCAGTTCAGAGTCTTAACCTCATGCTTTCTATAGCCCATGGCAACAAGCAATTATTCCATCCCACAGCAAAATAAAAACAATGACACCTAAGGGAAGAACTAGTATTTTACTAGTTTCATTGACAACAGCAAACAGATTCTGAAGAAAAGCCAAAGCACCGCTGATATGTTCTACTGTGCCTTACAATTTGTAGTTATAATTTCAGACCATTACCTAAAGAAAGCCCGAATTCTACATCCAGGATTTGCAGGGAAATAATTACAGTATTGATCGTTCTTGAGGAGTCTGAGAAAGATGTTTTCAGTAAAAATAAATAACATACACACATAACAAAAAGGAGCTTCCAGTCATGGCTCACAAGCCACGATCTGTTAAACAGGTTACTCCTAAAACTGGGTGGGACAGGTGAGTGTAAAAAGGTATTATGAAGGCAGGCCCAATAGTGACTACCTAATTAACTCTGCAGCTGGAAGTAGTAATTTTTAAGCAGAGTCTTGGAAACCACAACTCTTGCTACAACAACCATTCCCTGGAAGAGATTAAATTGGAAACAAATTCCGTATTTCTCTCTGGAAGCTGGAGCAGAGCAGAAAGGTGGACGTACACAACAGGCAGGCCTGGCACCTGCATGTCCTTTGCTTCTGTAGCCTAGGGTGAGTAGAGTTCCTGGGGTTGCTTTAGACGAAGCTGCTCCTCGTAGGGATTAATGGATTAGCAAAAAACCTGGCTAACAACAGCCTCCACACTATGGGGAAATACAAGGAAGCATCAAATATGAATGAGAACAGCATGTGGTGATACACGTTCTTTCTAATTCCTTCCACTGACTTGTCCAGTGCCTTTAGACCAGCCTCCTCTCTTCAGGCTGGGGACACGTTTAAACCAGGCTACGCTTCTCAGGATCTGGCCCAAGCGCACCCAGATGCAGCCCTTCATACTTTTCCCAGCAACCCCTACCTTGCAACACAGCCACATGCATCCAATCTGATTTTCCCCCATCTCAGTAACACAGGTTATGCAAGCCTTTCATTAATCACATTTTAGCTATGTGGGAGAGAAGTCAGCAGCCTTCACATCCACAAACTATGCATCTTGGCTCTCACCTATTCAACATACTCCTACACTACTGCTTACATAAAATCAAACTCCATGAGAAAACAGAATACAGGTCACTCGTCTTTACTAACAATTTTGTCTCCTGTGATCAAATATGGATTAGCTGTATCTCGCCCTCTCCTCCCCACCCCAAATGCCTGCAATGTAATTATACCACTACAAAGAATCTACAGGTAAATACTTGAGTTCATTCTTTCCCCTAAATAAAAGTCAGAAGCAAGGAATTATCACGTTTCCTCACACCTCCCTAAGTCCATTACACTTTTCCAAAGCCTGAGTCAACTTTATTCATAATAATGCCCAAGACTAAGAAGCCCATGCTTTGCTAACAGCACGTAAATCCTAATAAAGCACTGACACCCCTCCTTACCTTACAATAAAAGCCTCACACCTCTGAACGGTGAAGAAAGCCAGCGTATTCCTAAGCAAGCTGTCATCCTGTGAGCACTGTGACCAAGACACAGGCTACGTCACCACCCATCACTGAAGCAGTGCTTTAACAGCTACTCGTGTTCTTTCTCAATCAGATATTATCATTTTTTAGTTACATGATTGGCAAAACTTCATATCCATGCAACTCTTAAGAACTACAAACAAAAGCCCGCTGTTGTTCAAAAGCAATTGCAGAGAGAATGATGACAATGAAAGGAAAATTCTTCAAATGTTGGTAGTTAAAAAACAAGAAAAAGATAATTGCCTAATCAAGATTCTTATGCTTATTAAATGCCACCTACATTAAATGCCGATACTCCTTTCACAATTCTTTCTAGTCTTAGAACTTGTAATCCAATCTTGGCTCAGTCACTGTGCACATTCCAATTTCAGATGAACAGTTAAAAACTGCAGCAAGGCCAGGAGCAGGATACCTCAATTTACAAGCTCAGAGATGAATTTCTGTTCTCACTTGCTGTGTTCCAGAACCAGATGAGAAAATAGTGGCTGGCTATGCGCCAGGACAGAGCTTATCCATGGCAAAGCCATGGCACACAGGCACACTTCTCTTGAAGCAAGGACTGACATCCCCATGAGCTGTCACTACCACTTCCTGAGAAAGGGCACTTGCATTTCTCAATTCTCAAACATCTAAGGTAAAGACCCCGTTATAACTGTAGACGTTCCAGTTCTGAAGGCACTGAGCTCTCCCATCTCCTGTTCACCTCCTAGATCAACAATTAAAGCTTGGCCCATTCATTCCCATACAAGAGAATTCAAGATGGTTCCACATATTCTCATTTGCCAAAGATAGAAGTGACTTTTCAACACCAACCGCTAAAGAAAAATAATGAAAGAAATGGAAAAAAAACAAACAAGACAAACTTTCAGGATTCTCATTCTAGTTTTGAGAAGCTGATGTTCAAGTTACTGCAAAACATGTAGACCAACATGACTCATTCACTCACAGAAACTACACTGCTAAAAATAAGCAGCCATCTACAGGAATATAAACATTTTAAAATGCCACACACTTTGTCATCCTGGTTAAGAGTTTGTATCACTCCCTTAAAGCCTAAGCTTTGTGTCTAGGGAGATAAGAATAGAAAGAGGAAGTCCACACAAGGTTCCAGCAACGTAACAGATACCATTCGCACATTCTAGACGAACTGGATACCATCTCCTCCTGCCAGGAGGATGGTTAGGGAGACATTCCTCTTATCCCATTCATTACAGAAGACTGTAAAGAGAACTAAATGCTGTCCCTTGCACGTTAGATCAAGCAAGCAGAATTTGTTCTTCCTGGAACAAAAAGAAAATACAGAAAACTAAACTCATGTCAGAAGTAAGATTGCTGCTGTGAAATAGCTGGTGAAGAAGATGCCTGCTGAACCCCAGAGACAATTAATCTAGACTTCATACCATGTGTTTTCATCAAGTCTGAACTGTCTGCAGCCAGGTAACAGCTGCTGCACAATTAAGTGCATCACCCAGGCTTCCTTGATGAGTTAAGCAGGTGGTGGGCTTTAATTATCCCACCTAATGTTCTAAGTCACATAACAAATTATTACAGAGGAAAACCTCAGCAACATGAGAAATCCTTTCAGTGGACACTCAGCCAGGTAATTACAAAAGCCCCACACAAATGAGTAACTTCAACTTTCCTCCCACTCAAGCTTGTACTAATGCTTGCTAAGAATGAAGGGTTAACTTGAGGAGCAGCAGAGGCAGCTGCCCAGGCAGGTGAGCTCTGTGGAAGGAGCAGGAAGACCTGTCAACACGTGGCTGGTCTTAAAAGGGAAGACAAGGGAAGACTAGCAGACAAGGTTTGCTTTGCAATGACCAGAAGCTAACAGAAAGCAGAGTGATGAGAAAAACTGGAGAAGAGAGAATTGAGGTTCTTATTTATTCAACATGGTATCACAGCACTGGGGAGCCTTCCTTACTTATGTGGTATCTGCTGCACAAGCAGCAGATTCTTTTCCCGGCTGAGGGCCAAACAAGCCATGCATTAAGACACACCTCAACATCATCCTACAGAAAGCACAGCTCCAGCCAGGATGAAATGAAATTATAATCCATTCTTAATAAAGACAGTATTATGTGTTATGGCCTTCATGGCTCTGTTCAGGGAGACATTTCAGGTCAGAGGGAGGTCACACTGCTAACACAAATAAATGCCAACACTGCTCTTCCACATTAAAAGAAAGA